TCCTGGGTCAGAAATTCTCTTTCCCTTTTTACTCGGCAAATGTAAAAAAAAAAGAATAAAAAACAGGGGATGGTACCGTATATCGAGGAGAGAGGGGAAAAGGGCCCCAAGTGTTTTTTTTTTTCCCGCATTTCCTGCCATGGTCTGAAGTATTTCCTTATCCTTCGTCTGGGAGACACCTGCTGTTTTTTATGGCGGAGCCTGAGACCATTGAGACACTACGGGCTCTGGTGTGGATTATGGAGGAGAGAGACAGGGTTGGGGAAGTGTTAGTTTAATGTGTAATCCTTTCACGTGTTTCTTTTCAAGTCTGCGGAACTGAGAGACTTGAAAGGATCCTCCTCTAGGAGATAGCAGGTCCCCTTCACTCAGCGAGTCGATGAAAAGCGCCTTGAAACTTTTATCGCTCGCTTCCTCTTTGCATCTATAACACCTGCGACAAAAAGGTGTACATTTCCCCACGGGCAGTTTTGTCGCCGTCGACTTCGATGAGTGGCATATCATTTAAAAGTAATAATTAATGTATCTGTGCTATCCAGATGGACAGAAATTGTGAAACTGCATACCCGACTATTTAATCTCGGGGTGGTAGGTGCCATATCCGAGATGCCACATAAACTGCCGTTATGTTGTATGTGCGCAGCAACCGACAGTTGTGAATGGGCTTTTACAGGGAACAGAATTCAATTATTCCATCGGTTCCGGACGTTTTCTGATTTAATAAAACGTAGATAAAGTATTTTGTTTAATTCCGGAACCGAAAAAGAATACACCCGCGAATGTTCATCCGGTCTTCAACGTGTATATAATGGGAAAATGAAAGAACAGGTCCAATTTGCCTGCATAAGTGAATCTCAAATCAATGCGCAGCATAGCACCTGCAAGCTTGTTGGAGCTGGTATGTGTTCAATGCTATTTTATAGAGATCGCTCTCAAAATTGAGAAATCTGCTTGGGATTTCCCAAACATATTGATGACCTGAGACGATTTTCTGCTCAATTTCTGAGTTTCGGCCAGTGAACTCGGATAGGTTTATTGCAGAGAAGAGAGGCAACATCCTTTGAGGTACGTAAATTTCATCCACCCCCCCTCCCCCCCAATCATGAGATTCCAGGCTAGCCAAGAAAGCGTGATAAAGTGCTGCTGCGACCCTGTTGTCTGACGAACGAAGGACCAGTGATTTATATTTGCCATACGTGGTTGAATTAATGAAAAGGCTGCTTAATTGCTCCATTTACAAGTTCTACCGTGTATTGTACTTTTGTGACCAAAGGTAATCTATTAGCCTAATTTTGTGTGAAGCTGACATTTATCTGCATCGAATCATCTATTGAAGGAAACGATGTCGCAAAGTCCTCGGTCCTGTAAAAATACATCACCCACTTAAAAGAACGATTGGATTTAAGCCCTGGAGAAATGTTATTCCGATTTCTTGAAGTCGGGCATATTGGCCTCATGAGGTTCAAATGCGTCGGTAATTTTTCCGATAGTTGAGACTCCGAAAAAATGCCCTAGAAGTGGGCGATGTTTGTGAGCGCTAAATAATTTTTTTTTAATTCATAGTTGGAATTCTTTTGAATATCTGACGAAGTCGGAAAGTCTGACATGCACCAGATTCGTTTAACTTTAAACCGATTCGTTTAAATAACAGGCGTCTATGGAAATAAGTTTATCTCTGTTAAACTGATTTCCATAGGGGACCATTATGAGATCAGATTAGTTTAGCCTAAACGGATTCGGTGCATGTCACCCATAGATTCAAGTACCATCCTAGGAAGTGATTACATGTCTACATTGGTTATAAATGGAAGAGTTCGCAGGCAGCCACAGTAATACGTTCTTGAAGACTCTCACGAGACCAGCGCGAGAGTCCTAAGCTGGTCCGAAGTGTTGAGACCTTGTATTCGACTTGAGTTCGAATAAAATCAGTGGAAGTCTCTGTATATAAAATCTCTCCCGCTTCTTACTAGTAGTTCCTCAGGTGTCGTGTGTCGCAACTAGAATTTTGGTAAGTGTGAAACCGGTGTGCTACTAAAATGCTATCCCGTACTTTTTTTGTATGCAACATTGAATTAGTCTTGGATTGCTTCATCCAAAGATGTAACGTCGCTGACTATCGTGTGTCCTGCAAATCGACGATTGCATGGCGGCTGAAATATTAGCTGGGCTATCGCAGTCTGGCATGACCGAACCAGTAGCCATTCCTAATGCCGAAGAAACTTGCGTGTCAACCTCTAGCACTGCCTCGGTTCCCCTCACTTGTGCCACAGAGGCTTGGGCGTCTACTTCTGGCACTGGGATTCCCGTTGCAGCTGGATTCACGATTTCCCTTTTTGGCGTTTTATTGGAAAGGAAGGATTCAGCTCGATACGGTACGCGAGTTTCAAGCGTGTCGTCTCCCACCGCTGCGTAGAGGCCCTCCTTCGTGGTGGGGATCCCGTTCTACTTCACGAGACCTTTGTAATGATCTATATATAATAAGGTAATAATAATAATCTTATTATTCGTGAATTTGTAATCACAGTCTCGAATCTCTCGAAGCTTGTAACTCGGAAATGAAATGAGGCGTGCTGTAAGTTGTATGCACATTTGAACTCGGCGAATTGAGGTCTATACAATGATTCCAATATCGAAAGGACCTGAAAAAGTCTACCCCCCTTTCCACTAACCTTGAAATCATGTGAAAGTCAGGTAAATGGTTATAGGTTTTAAAAAACAGAAATCGCTCCGTTTTCCTTAAAGGCAAGGACAAGTCAGAGATATAAGTAACTGCATGAGCTCTCATCGAGAAGGAACCATGGGCAGTTGGGTGATACGAGAAAGGTGGTCATGTACGAAAGGCTAATTTTGGGCCGGGAAATTGCTGTCAAAGGAGCTTTAAATGTACGAGAAATTGATTATGTTTTCTATGGGAACCCTGAATGATATTTATTTAGTTTAGATCGTTTTATCCCTGGAGCGATATTCCTGCGATGTCCATGAAGGTTCTCCTCCTCATCAAAGGCAGCGCAAGGCGAAATCGCCTTTGATTTGGGTCTTCCGTTGTCCAATTTACGCGTTTTAATTTAAAGAGCCTGTTTTGCGTGAGTTACTTTTCAAGAGTTCATCCTTGAAATTTTATGGTCAAACAAAAGTGTATGTCCGTTGCATACCATAATACTGCAGCTGATCTTGCTTTTTCTTCGGAAGATTCATTCGTTCAGTGCACTTTTAAAAACCTCTTTCATCGCCAGGTTGCGTCTTTCTCTTTGACGAAGTTCATTAGACTCGTAGCTTCCTTGGGCAACATTGTGTCTCGTGTCGTTCGCATTCTGATAGGAACAAGACCTGCGATGAACAATGGCAACAATGCTATGACGAGCATGCGAACGAAAGTATAAGGAATGGGATCACGTTGCACTTGAGCGAATGAGTGAAAGTGGAAATTATGCCCGATCAGACTCGTCTTATGGCTTGTTTCCTTGTCGTTCACCCAATAAAATCTTTTTAAAAGAATGTTGTATCGATGCGTTGGAGAATGGTATGTGGGCGAGTGTAGGTCAGCCCGGGCAGCCTCTTTCATTTTGTCCTATTTTTTATGGTATCATTTTCAATCATTTATTCCAAAAACTCAACAACAATACAATTGTACATGGCACACTCAGGTCAACGATTGGAACCGATAAAACACTTCGCACATGAGGGGCAAGACAAATTTCTAGAGTCGACATCCTTGCGATAACAAGATGGGGGAAACCGGCAAGGCTTCAGAGAGTACCTCGGGACATGCTTCCCCTGAAGGCACCTTCCGCATTAAAAGCCTTTCCTCCTATCCCCGAGATGACCGAAAGTTCGCGTCATCCAGGATCAGATGACTCGACATTTTTGGCTTGATATAGGGAAGGGGAATATGTGGCTTCACGTATCCAAATACCAGGAAAGGAAAATGGCAGATTCATCTGCGCCCGCTGAATAACCATTTAATTAGGTAGGTCTATCCTTTGTCCAAGCAGCTCACAATTTTTAGCTAAAATAACAATCATGAGAACACATTATAGTCATAATCCACTCTTAATTGGTGTTTATGTTCACATTTTTTGGTTCAAGGAAATAGGAATAAATTATATTAAGTCATCTTTCTTGCGCACATACTCGCAGTCCAAATGAGCCTCAGTCCGATTTCTTTTTAAATTGGACTCGTCGGCCTTCCTAATTTTGCCAATCACAGCTCAAATGACTCTCAGACTTATATTTCTGCATATAAAACCTAATTAGAATGAAGTACGGATCTGATGAGTGAGGCTTTAGCTTTACTTCCGAGGTTAATATGCTTGGCAAGACTTTCGCTTCGTTTTCCCCTTCATGCTGGACCAAAAGTGTTAATAGTAGTATGCTGATTTGAGCTTGTGACTCTTGGGCTTGGACAATGGGTGAACCCCGAAAAATTCCTCTTGAAGGTGAATCAGCTTCCTAATTGAACGAAATATTGCGTGAGAGAGGGAGAGGGAGTATAGAGGGAGATGAGTTCATTAAACTTTCTCCTGTCGTTGACCGACTTTTCCCTTCTTAATCGCGACCGGTTCAGCTGCCCTCTGGTAACACTAAAGAGGGGAATACCCCCCACATTATCTGGGGCAGTGGAAATTCTAGGATTCGGACCATTCCAGAACCGGTCATACCGGATAAAAGAGAAAAAAAAAAGGTGGGGGGAGAGAGTAGAAAGACAAATGAAAGTGATGAACTGAATTTTCCCGGTCCGTCCCCCATTCTGGAATCCCAGGGCTTTCGTTGCAAAAAGAATGAAGGACTTAAATCACACCTTCGCCTTTTCTTGTCAGAGTAAAAAGAAAGGTCACAGGTAACGAGTTGCGCAACGCCCAAGAAAACAGTCATGGACGTGAGACGAAGAACACACAATAAACCCGAGACTTGAGCAACTTGTCCTGGTGAAAAGCGGTTGACGCGCCCTAGGGACGTGTGGTATTATTTTGTCTTTTGTTCTTGTATTTTTCTACACCCACTTACGAGTCCTTATCCTTAGATTCGGTTTCTTCTTGTTCTTTTGGCTGGGCCTCGGCTTTTGGAGAATCCTCGGTTTCCCTGGCCAGCCTGGCTCCATCACCCTCCTCACCGTACAAAGATGCACCAGGTTCCATGAGCACTCCTGCTGCTCGGATCTGATCCAAAAGATCCGGGGGAAGCTCACGCAATTCCTTCACTTGTTCCAGCCGGCTTCCATCTTCTGAAATGTATTCCACCAAATAGCCATCTGGCTGACTGTAGGACCCGGTGGTGTCCCCATAGACGAGTTGGGCATCTTGGTATGACCCTGCATACGCCTGGGAATTGTATTCCCCGAGGATATTGTTCTTTCCGGCCTCGAAGACCTCAGGACCTGGGACCTGAGTTGGCTTGATCTTGGATGGCTGCTCTTTGGCGTATTCCGCATTCTTCGGGTCGATCGTCAGGTCCGGTGCAGGTAAGACCTTGAAAGGATCCGGTTTAAAGGTCCTGGACCTGAAGGACGGCTCGAAGTAATGGCCCTTCCCCTTTCGATGGGAATAGTCTCGTCTCTTGTAGCTGCTGCTCCCTCCCTGGCTGGCGATAGGAGATGCGCTGTAACCGTTGCTGATGACCGGAGCGGCGTTGTAACCGCTGCTGATGACTGGAGCGGTGTTGTAACCGCTGCTGATTGGAGCTTGAGGCCCATAGCCATGACCATAGCCACCTCCTCCTCCGGAGCCGTAACCTCCTACAGAGGCATAACCTATTCCTCCTCCTAATCCTCCTAATCCTCCTCCCAGTCCTCCTCCTAAGCCTCCTCCTGAACCATAGCCGATGGGAGACGCAAGACCATGGCCCCCATATCCTCCAGCTAGAGCAGCAATAGGCATCCCGCCGTATCCATGGCCCCCTATTGGAAGGACAATGGGAGGCATGATAGCCAACCCTCCTGCTCCACCACTGGCACCATATCCTTGACCAGCATGGATGGGGCCATATGAGCTGGCACTGCCGATTCCGCTCCCACTGCTATGTTGCTGTCCACCTCCTCCTTTTCCTTTTCCGCTGTCCCTCCTGAAGAGTCTGCCGAGGAACTGTAATCCCCGGCCGAAAAGTCCTCCTCCGCCGCTATTTCCACCATCTTTTCCTCCATCGTAGCCGTTACCAGAGGAGGTTGTGTAGGTGTAGCCCCCGGGTTGTGCGGAATGCCCATAGCCTCCAAAGGCTGCATTTTGAATGGGCATTCCCCCGTATCCTCCGAATCCACCTGAGTCCCCTCTGTCCTTCTGCCTTGGTCTGTAAACTCGTCGATAAGTCCTCCTTGGTGTCAACCCTCGTCCTCTGCTTCCTTCGCACGAACTGATGGCCAGGGCCACCAACACAATCCCCTACAACAGCACCAACAACTTTTTAGACTGGTGAAATTCTGACAATCGAGATCTAAATCAACGTTTTAAATAAATGCGAAATTTTCCCAGTATCAGTGTAGCGGAATGCTCGTTACTTCCAGCATGACTTCAATATATGACTTTTTGTATGTCAAACATGTCATTTACGATTTAAGATGATGATAGTTCAACCGCAGATCGTATTTGAAGTCATTTCTTATTATGAGTTGAATCCCAGTCATGATTCATATCAAATCTCAGGACGTGATGCCTATCAGATTTAAGTTAAATAATGATTTGATTTCGCCCAAGATTGAAGAAGCCATCCAGCTGCATTAGCAGCAGATGAAAGATGCATGAAGGACATCACTCGAACATGGAAGTTCGAGACATTTGAGTTGATTTCCTTTTCATGTGGGCGACACTGTGATGGCAGCACTTTGTGACTCTAGCAGGGTATGGTGAAAGTCTTAGGATGCGGTTACCATACCCGAAGAATCTAGAAGTACATAACGTGAGTTCAGCTCGGGAGGCCTAGAATATTCTTGCAATTGCCTTTCCACTCCATCATTAGAGGAGGGGCTTTCCCTCCTGCTGTCAAATCACCCTGTCAATCATCAAATGTCACTGTCATGCCCAAAGTCTCATCGATGCCTCCGCAGAAAATGTCTCCTTCTGTACTACATTGCATTGCACTCAATATAACTTTCAAAGTCGTTCGTAATTTGTGATTATTGTTTTTAAGTAAGTAAATGAATCAAGTTTGCAAATCCACGGTACAAATAGGTTTTTTTTTTTCCTTCAGGTAAATTGCCCAAGTCCCAGTGATGGATCCGGTTGTGCTAAAAGGCATCAGGCATGAAAGCTTTTGAAAGCTTTACTGCTTGAAGAGTGTAAATGAAAATACTTGGAAGTACTTCCTGAATTAATTCTACTGGCAGCATTTCGTTCGATACAAATGGAGTCATTGACGAGACCGGAAGATAGTCGATAGACGTTCATTCACTTTCATCAGACTTCCGTAAGACTAGACGATTCCATCTTTCTCCAAAAGAGGAGCACTTTGGCGTCGAGTAGGGCGCGATGTGTGCCTAAGGCCATTTCAACAACTCCGTTTTTTTTTTCTTCCTCCTTGCTTGCGCAATCCAATCCCACACTGCACAAGTACTTTTTTTTTATTTTTCTCGCTTCACTGATCAGTCGAGAGCCGGTTCTTACACAATACAACTGCGGCACTCACAGCCAATCTGGTCGTATTGTATGCCATAGAACGCCCTCCAATCAGTCTGAACCATTTACTGATGTTTCTGTAGGATCCCTCTTTTTATTTTGCCAATTTCCTCCTAGTTTTAGGAGGCTTTTGGAATTGCCATGGTTATTTTTTTTCCATGCTGATTCATCGTTACGATCTCTAGGCCTGCGAAGTTTCTAGCGTTTTCTGAAGTCATGTCACGGTCAATTTCGCATGCGAAGTGAGGGTTAAAATACGATGGCCTACAATACTTCAGACTATCATAAACTCCTAAAAACATCTTTTATTTCCTTCTTTTACTGGAAGCCGTTCCGACTATTCGAGTCGAGTTGGATAAAGCCCATTGTCCCTAGGGAGAAAGCATGAGAAAAGAAAGGTATCTTCCTGTCCGTTGTGAGGGGGAAAAGAGAAGAGCGTCACTGCATCGGTAGCATTGCATCATGGGGGGAAAACGCTGAGAGATGAATAGACGAGAAGCCGAAAGGAGGCTGAAAAGAGGAAGACGAGCTGTGGGGCATAATTTTGATCCGTATGAAAGAGGGGGGATGGGGAAAAAAATAAGGAAGGGGAAAGGGAGACAGACATAGCCCGGAGGCTTTTCTCGCCGCTGACTATTCACCAGTGACCACTATTCAAAATCGCTTCTGTGCATCGTTTACGAGCCCTTTTTTTTTCTCTCAATTTTGGATGTCTTGCGTGCATTTTAAGGAATTATCACCCGGAAAACCAATACCGAGGACCATAGGATTTACTCTGTGATAATCTCATGTAAGCCCCTATTTCCCCCGAAAAAAAGAGAAAGAAAGCGTTCGGCCTCTGGCTAATAATTAGGCCTTGGGGATCGCCTTCCATCGACGACGTGGCGTTTAGTCGAAATCTCTCCATCGCGTGACATGCTCTCGGAGATCGCATTCAAGATTCCATGTAAGACATTTCATGGAAAGCTATTCATGTTTGCATTTTTTTCCAACAAAATTCACACAAAAGTGTGAATTTTCTTGTGAAGTGTGAATCGCCAAATTATCTTCGAGGGAGCTATCTTCTCTCCACTCCCCGAAGAAAGATTTTTCTTCGCTCTTTTTCTTTCATAACAACAACTTGTTATTGGATAAGTACATTCCTCCCATCGGATATCATTATGGAATCGCATCGGGTTAAGCCCAACCGATCTGTCATACTGCATTTAACAAGAAGGTTTTACACTTTCGTGCAGGCCTGAAAAAGTAAGGGGATAGGAATGGAGAAAAGTCAGTGAAACCGATGAGCTTTTATAATTCAAGGAAATGAACTAATGTGCACCACGAATCTCTCAAGGAAGTTATGGACGAGGAATGTCAAGCTCATGCTCGATAATTCATATTTTGGTCCTGGAATTTATTCCCAGAAGAACCTGGGTAAGTCAGGAAAATTGCTTCTGAATCTGGGATCCTGCCATGCAAACCCTTTTCTTTCTGATCTCGGGCAGATAGTCTTTATTTGAGGTCTACTCTTTTAATGAGGTGAATGCTTCTTTCCGGTTAAAATGAATGGTCGAGACTGGCAGAGAAAGAAAATTAAATAAGGATTTGAAATGAGAGCAGAGACGAGAAGAACCGGGCAGTGACATTCCCGATAAGGAAAAGTGGTTCAATGTGATTAACCTCCATCACTTCAATGTCTCCCTCCTTTCATTTATGTCAGCACGAAACCTGAATCCCATTCCATTCCCCAACCGGCACATCTTCCATTCCAAACGAACGAGGATTACTATTTACGGTCTTCTGAACAGGCTTGTAAGAATTCATAAACTGAAAGAGAAAGAGCTCGTATATGAATTCCCTCGCGAAGCGAATTTCCTTGCTAATTAATGGCTTCATTAGCGGAAGTCGGAGTGGAAGCCTTGGAAGAGGGCGCATTCATCAGGCTATCTCTCAAACCGTAAAGTCCGTTGCATAATGCAGGATGCAATTTCTGAGATGATAAAAACACAAGGTTCAATGCAGCGTACCAAGACAGTTTTTGTTTTGTCGAATCTGTTCCTGTCCTGAAGTGAGAATGTCTTTTTTTTTACATTATTCGTGTAACTTGTCAGTAATTTATTATACAGTTTTTACTCTACTACAAAACACTATATGTATGACCTATTTCCGTATTCATAAATATTACCGACGTTATTGTGGAACAGGCGATGGGAATCCTTTTGGAGAAATCCTAACTCTTTTCTCTTCCGACAGCGATTTCATCCGTGTTCCTGGATTTCCATCACGCTCTGTGTCCTGATTCGTATTTTTTTTTAAATTAATATATCCCGAAAGCGGATGAATCATAGCTTTCTGCACACGGTAGAGTAGATTTGTGAAACGTCGTGAGAAACTCACGATTTCTGTACCGTTACGCAAAGCTGGAAGGATCGAATGAAAGGAAACGCTGATCATTAAGCATGGCGAATCCCCAGCCACTCCTTTTTATCTCCACTTTCCTTCCATCTCTATGTATCATAATTATTATATGATCTCTTCATATATCATGAACTCCACCTTTCTTGAAGAATGGGCACGGAATGCAGAAGACCTGCAACTTGTTTGCATGCATAGTTTCCGCCTGAAGGCATGAAACGAAATGAGGGTGTAGCCAGATCTGATCGACAAGTGGGAGGGCAGGTAAGTAGTTAACACCTAAATCAGGGCACAAATCGCAATTTTATTTGAGACAAAATAAAATCGTATCTCTTCGGTGATATTTCTGCATATGTGCGCAAGATTTTCTCATTTCCTGGTTAGTCTGACTGCGTTGTCGATGCGCATTCATGTAGCAATCCCTTGGAACTTGTGTTCTGTCCCTCCGTAAAGGTAAAAACATCTCCCTTTCCCAATTTGGACCTTACCTTCATACCAGATCGCATGCTTGTCATTCCAGCAGCTTACACTTGGAAAAAAAAAAAACATGAATAAATATGTAAAGGGGGCAATTGACCCACCATTCTTGCTTTCCCTAGCTGCGCTCTTGAATCCTAATATGGCCCTGCTGTAGAGCGTCCTATTTCTCGCGGGCGATGTTACCTGCAGCTGCGTGAAATTTGCCTTATGTTCTTTGGGAGACGAGATGGATTCCGCTTCCGCGGTGAATCTCGAGGAAATAATGCGCGCAATTAGGAACGGGTGTGAAATGGTCATGGTGAATTCGTAGGCATTATTCCCATGACTCCCTGGTTTAGTAAGCTTGAAAATTCGTTTGAATGGGTTTACCACGGCAATACTCCGATCGCCCATCTCCGTGGCAGCAAAAAAAAGAAGTAATTATTCTTCGTTTCTGGCTTATTGCTAATCGTTATTCGCTTCGTCCCAATCAATATGTGATGTTTCCTTTCGTCTGCCTTGCGCAACTCGATACGAACACAAAGGGACATCTCGATAATCCCGTTGTCCAGAAGCCGATAAAGAGACAGAGGCTGAAATGAAATTTCCATCTTCTATAGCGATGTACGTGGCGTTTTTTTTGTTCCCCCCCTCCATTGTCTGCATGAGGCGGGTCGATCCTCCTTTGTGTTCTTCCACCCTATTTCTCCATGTAATGCTCTTGAATCGTGGCATTTCACCTGCAGGACTGACCAGCTCCTGACGGAAGTAGGGGGGGAGGAATAAAAAACAAAGAAACAAACATCTCGTGTGATGAAGACACGGTTGGCTGGACCCATTACAGTCCGAACCACGTAATACGGTCTATATTGGGGCGAGCCGGCGCGTAGGGGAGTGGATAAAAATGACTCCCCTTCATTTTCCCTCCGATTTCGTAATCGAGTAACTTTTCTCATCCTCTTTCCCCCCTATTTTATGACCTCCCTTTTTCCCTTAAAATCCCCCATATGCATTGCCCAACTGGAGTTGATGATGTCTTCCTGGGAACGGCACTATTCTATTCTAGTTTGAACCCACAATTATTTTAAAAAAAACCTTGCTCCTGGAACAATGAAGAGACTAAACTTCCATCGGAGGTATTTCTGCTATTAGGAAATGTTGTCATTTGCAGTGGGAAATCTGCGCCATTTAGAAAATAATTATACGTAATCTTCACGAACTTATGTTATGAGATAATTTTCGTTCCAGCCAAAGCTGCCTAATAGACGTCTTTCCTTGCAGGAAGTGCTCACAGGGCAAGGTCAAGGCCTTTCCGCGCCCATGGCGGGCTTCTCGCGAATTCACCATAAGGGTCGTTATTAATCCCCCCCTCCCCCCAATCCTCAATGGTGGTTTAAGTACGCGGGTGCCCGCAGACCGCAATCGTGCAATGTCGCGATACCTTGAAGTCGTCGAAAGTGAAGAATAAAATTATTTTTATATCCTTCTGTTAAGTTGTCGGATGTGTCGAAGTGAAAGTCTAAGTCCATTCCATCCATCACAAGTCCT